GTTGTGAGGAAAGATAACACTTTATAAACCTGTATATGAAGCAAAAAATAATAACTTTTTATTTCTGCTAGAAGGAAAAGCCTTCTAAGGCTTTAGAAGACTCCTAGGTCCTGTTTCTACCTGCCTTTTCCCCCCTCTCAGGAAAAAGCATCATTAGAAATGGGGAAATCTAAAGGTACTCCCTTGAAGGGTGGGGCTTACGAGTAACAATCTCCCCCCAAACAGGCAGGAAGGTATCTGTACAGCCAAGCTTTGGGGCAGAAGATCCAGAGAAATCTATGACTATTATGGAAAGCATAGATCTCCCCATACTTGCAGGCACATTCAAACTGCCTCAAGGCTCTCTTCCTCGACACCTCCATTCTCCACCTCATGGCTGGGCCGATGCAGTGACATCACAATGGTTGCTGTGGATGAGATGGAGTATGATGGTTCTCTTGGTGAAGGATGTGAGGAGGTGGAGGAAGATCTCTCTCTCTTAACTCCCCTTCCCATGACTTCTCTCCCTTCCTCCCTCCTTTCATCACTATTCTCCCTTTTATCCCTCCCACTCTCCTAGCTATGTAGGAGTCATCTGGATTCATATTTGAGGTTTGTGTGTGTTTCTAAATCTTGTACCCCCAATTCCCTTCCCTCCTTCCTCTCTCCTAGGTCTTCTCTTTTGCCTCTCTGTTACCCTTCATTACCTAATTCCAGCCCTTTTTTTTTATCTCTCCCTTCCTCTTCCTCTCTTTCTCAGAGAAAATGAATGAAGATTCTAGTGAGGGCCCTGACCCCAACTCCAGCCCTGCTGAGGAAGCCTCCCAGAGTCGGAAAAATACAGGGTATATATGGCCAATGAATTCTTCAACTAAAGCCCCAAAGCGCCAATTTCCCCTCTCTGCTTGAATTCTCTATCCACAGGAATATCTTATAGTCGTGCAGTGCCTTTCTGTTATCTCGGTCTTTTTTTTTTTTTAAACTGCCTCTTTCTCCATCTATCTCTCTTCTCCTTATCTAATTTCCTTTTCTCCCTCCATTCACAGAAAGACGCAAACCTTTAGGGGCCGGAGGCAGAAGGCAGTATTGGGGAATAACTTCCTGGGACAGAGCCTATGGTGGGGGGAGAACAAACTCTGCTCTTTCCTCCCCCCAGTGGTTGGCCCTTGTCTCTGTGGATGCAGCTTAAGAGCAAAGGTAGTACTTCACCCTCGGCTCCCACCTTTCCCCCGGCAGGCCACCCAAAATCTCCCCTACCTCCTATCCAAGGGAAAGTCAACATCATCAGAGGCCTGGTCTAGAACGCAACTGGCTTCTCGATCATCTTTCCACCTAACCTCCCGGACCGGCCTCCAGACCAACAGTCACCCTCTGCATCCCCGTCAGCTGGCCCCATTAGGTATTTGGCCCCAAGGTTTTATCTTGGCTCCTTCCAAGAACAGGCCCCCCAAAAGCCAGTAATCCCACCTTGGGGGAGGTGCCCCATTCTCCCAGAAAGAGTGATAACCCCCCCCGCCCAATATTTATTTTAAGAATAAAAAATATATTTGATTTAAGAATGGCTTGTGTCTCTCTTATGGCTTGAAAATTTATCCCTCATGGAAAGGGGTCCATAGCACCTATGAGGGAGGAGACAGTCTAGAGGTAAATACCGCCTCTTTAAATTTAAAGTCTTGTTAGAGGAGAAAGAACAATGGATTTGTAATCAGAAGATCTGGGGGATTAAAACCCCAGTCCTGATATTTTCTAGATGGCTAACATTGGACAAATCACTTAACATTTCTGAGATTCGTGTTTTATCTCAAAAATGGAAGTTTTGGACCAGATCAGAGGTTCTTAATCTGGGGTCCATAGATTCATAAGGGATTTGTTGATAGATTTCAGCGGGAGGTCTGTGAATTTTAAATTATATCTTTGAATTTAACTTTTAAAAATAATTAACTAAATTTTAAAAATTACATCTTCATTTTCACGGACATCTACCTGAAATTTAGTGTTCGCTTCATTATGAATTTTTTAAAAAAATTCTGTGAAGGGATCCATAGTTTTCTACCAAGCTGCCTGCAATATAGAAAGGTTAAGACTAGATGATCTAAGTCCAGCTCTACCTTCTTTCCCTTTTCCTATTGAATTTCTATTCCTACAGCCCCAGACTCTTGCTATATATTTGAAATTGATGAAAATTAGCGATACATGACTGCTCACTTTAGCCATCAGATCCTTTTTTGTTATCCTCAGGCCTGTCTGTTCTATCCTGGAGCTTGTGTCTGGATAGCTCTGTATTGTTGGTCAGTTGTGTTTGACTCTTCATGGACCCGTTTGGGGTTTTCTTAGCAAAGATACTGGAGTGGTTTGCCATTTCCTTCTCCAGCTCCTTTTACAGATGAGGCAACTGAGGCAAACAGGGTTAAGTGACTTGCCCAGTGGGGTCATATAGCTAGTAAGTGTCTGAGGCCAGATTTGAACTCAGGTCTTCCTGACTCCAGGCCTGGCACTCTATCCACTGAGCCATCTGGCTGCATCCAGATTTGTATTACAATTTTATGTTGCGCATTTTGGGGTCCTACTGTTATTTCATAGGTATAGGGAGCTCGCTCTAGAGGGAAGACCCTCCACTAGTTCGGATGGGCTGCAGTCTTTGAGGTTGCTTGAGTGGACTGAGAAGTGACTTTTCTAGGGTCACAGCCCTTATGCCACAGAAGTAGTATTGGAATACAGCTCCTACCTGATTCTGAGGCCAATTACTCCACTGCTGCCTCTCACATTTCAAATGCTTCCTAATAAATTGCCCTATTTGTGATGGACTCATTCTAAATTTAGTAACGTGTCTCTACTGCCTTGGAAGAAAATGATTCTTATTTGGATGATTTAGGACAAGAAAAAAAAATGTTTGCCTCTAAACTGGAGGGGAGAGGGACCCAGATCATTGTAACAAAAATGCTTTTTTGGCCTCAGGGTAGTCACTAAGATATAGTGTCCATAAAAAGAGCGTGGGCCTGGGAGGACACATGGATGGAATACTAGTCCTGGCTCCACCTTATCTCAAAGTGTGACCTTGGGAAAGTCACTTTTCCTGAGCCACAGTTTCCTTCTCTGTAAAAGAGGGAGTTGGAACAGATGACCTCCAAGGTTTGAACTCTAAACTTCTCTGGCTTTAGGAGAAGCCAAACATATGTAAGGGCCAAGAAGGAGAAAGTGGGCAAAATCTCAAACTAGACCATATATATACATATATATATATGTATATATACACACATATATAAATATATATGTATATATACATATATATACATACATATATATGCATACATATATAAATATATATGTGTGTATATATATATACACACACATATATATCTTAAACCATATATATGTGTTTAAAACAAATTCCTTTTAATCCTTTAGGAATGAAAACACAGGGGCAAACTCCCGCTACCCTAAAGAAGGTTTGGGACTTTTCTGGAAGCTGGCTGGAGAACCACGAAGCCCAAATTCTTTTTCTCTTGAAAGAGTTGGAAGTGGGGATGGGGGGGCGGGGAGGATTGTAGGGGAGGGGAGTTAAGTGGAGAATGAGAGTGGGGGTGCGGGTGGAGCAGAACCTGGAAGAGTTCTGTACCTTGCCCTCGAGGGGCTCACAATCTTGAGTATAAAGCCAGACAGACCTTGAACTTGGAGCAAAACCCCATTTATTACAAACTGAAATTCCATCCGCCAGAGAACTTGGATTAGATGAGGGAGCCAACCTCTGGCGCATTGAGCCAACCTCCGCTTTCACAGTTCCACTCGCCAGTGTCCAGACCCTAACGCCCAGCCCCAGTCCCTACCCTTGGTCCCCAAGATGTCCTCTTCTTCTGGGTTTTTATCCCCATCTCCTTTTTCCCTATTCTACGTATTCTTGCTTTCCAACCTTGCAGAAATTAACATTTAAATTTCTGGAGAAGCAGTCTTCATGGGTCAGGAAGTTTTTGTGTGTGTGTGTGTGTGTGTGTGTGTGTGTGTGTGTGTTGTGTGTGTGTGTGTGTGATCACCACTTCCTCTTAGAAAGTACTCGGGTGCCACGCCCCACTCCCTTTTTCTTCCCTTCCCCTCCTGCTCCCTCACCTCTCCTGGCCTAGTAGCCTTGGCCCACAAGAATGGGAATTTAACCTGTGCCAACCTCTTTGGCATGCCCCCTCCCCTCCCCTCCCCAAACGCAGGCTGCTTTGGGCCTGGGGCGCTGAAGGAAAGGGATGAAAACGCAAGTGCTAGGTCGTTAAGGTATTTGAATTTTTTTTAAGAGGGAAAAAAAACTTGGGAGAAAGAAAGTATTTGATGGCTAATAATCTCATTTCAATATAATGGGACTTTCTTCTGCAGAGAGCAAGACAGGTTAAGAGATATAATTATGACTTTGCAAACTCTCTCCCAAGTGCTGGAGACGCGCTGACAGGTCTGCGCCGGGCTGCGCTCGGCTCCGCTCGGCTCCGAGGGAAGACGGCTTTGTCTGGAGCGCCAGTTAAAGAGACAGGATCCCTTTCTTCCCCTCCCCCCCACCCCCATCCTCTGCCTGCTTTGCAATTTAACTTGTCAGAATCATCCCCGCTGCCGGATCCGTGTTTGATTCTCTCACGGAGCTAGGGGGGCGAGGGATGGATGTGTGTATATGTGTGTGTGTTGGAGAGGGCGGGGGTGGGTGGGTGGAGCAAGAGCACAGTAAAGTGGGTTGATGTATAAGAGGTTCCCCCAGGAACAAAAAAGAAAATGAGCTCAAAATTTGTCCAAGCCTGAAAGGGGAAAGGGTCAAGTCTATACTGCTAAAGTGGGTGGAGGGTGGAGCAATTATAGAACTCAAGCAGAGCAAACATGATTCTCATCCACCGTCAGCCAAAAATGAAACTTAAAAAAAAAAAAGCCGAAACATACAATCCGGATGGTGTGGCTGCTTGCTTGGTCCAATCTGTTCCAAATTCTCTGAATAAATTGTCCACTTTTCTTCTCCTGTAGACTCGCCGAACTAAACGTTGCATTTTTTTTTCTAAAGCCAAACTTTAAAACAACAGCAACAAAACTATGGTGAAAAAAAAGGCCACTTAAAACTGGATCCCTATGGAGGATTTCCCCAGCACCCCAGGAGCGCAGGCCGGGAAGAATCTCCCACAGGTTTAAATGGGGCAGACGGTTCCGGCAGTCAAGAGATTAGGTGCAGATCCCGCTAAACCAGGAGTCAAAGCTTTGGATCTCTCGGAAGGAAAGAGACGCCTTTTCAGGTGCTGAGGTTGCTGGGGAAAGGCAAAGAGGCCTTGAGAATGGGTGAGTGCGCATTAGCGCTTGAGCAGGTGGATGCACTCCCAGAGCTATGGTGTTTATAGAAATGTGTAAGTGTTTTAAATGTGTGGCCTCACAGTCGTTCTCCCCCCGACCAACTCCCTTACAGGAGGACTCAACATCCCTCCCCCCAACCAACTAAATCCCCAAAATGTAAATGTAAATGAAGAGACACAGAGAGATAGACATTAAGACCTGGAGGAAAAGAGAGACAGAGTTGAGGAGACGGAGGGAGAAGAGATGAGAAGAGGAAGAAAAGAGAAGGGAAAGGAAAGAAAAAAAGGCAAGAAGAGAGGAGGAGAGGATAGGCGATAGGGAAGGAGAAGACGAGAGGCATGCAGTTCCAGAGAAAAATGGATTGGAGGAAGAGAAATCAATGACTGGAGAACTCTTTCAGAGATCGTTCCAGGGCCTTGAGTATAATGTGGTTGCTGTTGCCTACTCTCTCTCTCTCTCTCTCTCTCTCTCTCTCTCTCTCTCTCTCTCTCTCTCTTTGTCTCTCTAAAATTAGGAGGAAGGTTTATTTAGGGAATGGGCTACCTGCCTCACGATGACTTTCCCCACTTCGCAGTATAAGGAATTAGTAAGGAAGTCTGAAAACCAAAACCAAAACCAAAACCAGGGTAAGTCTTTACTAATTTCCCAGTCGCACCTCAGCGCCCTCCAGACCCGCACAGAAAATCAGGAAAGACTGAAGAATCCAGGCGGCTACTGGCCACGTGATTCGCCTTGGGCAGGGGAGGTAGGGGTTAGGGGACCTTGGGACTGTTCCTAGGACAAAAGAAGGATGCACTGACCCGGAATCCCAGGGACTGATTAAGCCAAATAGCCGGAGTCTGGAGCTGACGCGATTAGCAAACGACTCTAGGCTAAATTTAAAAGGTTTTATTGGGTTCATTCAATTTCAGATCCAGTCTAATCTGAATTACTCCCTCCCAGCACTATTATCCCCACCTCTTGTCTGCATATAAATCACACCTAGGTGTGCGTGGCACTTTCGCTGGTTGTACTTGTGCAATACCACAAACTGGTCAAACAAGATTATAATTTAGAGGTAATGCTGCTGCTTGGTGGCTGAGAAGGGAAGACACTGATAGGAATTTTCTTTGGGCGTGAGGATTTAGTGAATCTGCACAGATTCACTAACATGCTCTTATGGGTTCCCCCCCCCCGCCTCCACCTTGTGATGTCCCCACTCGTCTAGTGGAGGCCTGCGGATCTGGGTTACAGGTGCACTTCCGGATCTCACGACTAGGGGGAGATGAGTAGATCGTTGGCGGCTTGGTTGCATAGAACCTTTTGATCTGGCTCGAGTGACTGGACGAACAGAAAGTCTAAGTTTTACTCACATCCACATCCCTATTCTGATTCATATGCTGTTATCTCCCCCTCTCCCCCGCCCCTCTTCTCTTCCTTTTCCATCCCCGAGGAATACAGGTCAGGAAGCACTCAGCAGTACCGAGCACCCATCTATCCAACCCCAAAATCTACTGCATAGCTGCAGGAAAGAGGATAGGGTTTGAAGGGCGCAGTTCTCAAAGTATCTCTGAACCCGGAGAAGCAAGATGCCACATCTTCCTCCTCCCCCAAACTCCGTCCCGTTTGGGAGTTTGTATTTTCCCCTGGGTGAGGTCCTGATCACTCTTGAAGGTGAGAGAAATAGGGGGTTTGGGCAAGCTTCAGCCTTGGTCCTGGGTAGTTCGGTAAACAAAAACTTGAACTCGAAGTAGGAGGTGAGGGATGATGAAAGTGAGCAAGCGAGCGAGCGAGCGAGTGTGTGTGTGTGTGTGTGTGTGTGTGTGTGTGTGTGTAAAATGCTTTGCTTAGCAAAGGCCACCTGTCCAGGGGAGGCGTATGAGTGTGATTTTAAGTCAAGCACGTGCTCACACGTTTGTATGTTTGTCGGTGAGTGCGTGTAATTCTAAGCTCCCGTCTTGGTGTGTAGGTACGTGTGTTCGCACAACTGTGAAAGATGCAGGGTTGTAAGGCAGGATTTAAGTTTAAAAAAAAAGGCGGGAGAAGAGAGGAAAACAGGATAGATAAATAGGCAAATATACTGGAAGAGTGAAACAGTAAGACATAGGGATTGGGGAGAGACAGAGACACACAGACAGATGGAGAGACATAAAGACAGAATGAACAATGAAGCCGCCAAGGTCAGTTTTTCGAGACTTTGTACGCGTGGCCTCTCCGCGTGCCCCAGGTCGGGGCCTCGCGGGTCAGAGTCTCCGCGGGGAAGCGGGGGTCGCTGGGTGGAGTCAGGGAGGAGCCACAGGACGCAGCCGGCGAGGTCATGGGGGAAGGGGCACACAGAGGGCAGCGGCTTGGAAAGCCTGCTCGGCCGGCTCAGGTTACCTTGGGCCTTCCCGGGGAGCCGCAGCCTCCACCCCCCTCCCATCCCCGGCCCCAGGGAGAGGGGCCGGGGATGGGCTACGGGCTCGTCCCCACCCCCCACCCCCCACCCCCAACCCCCACTGTTTGCATTTCTCTGGCAGGCTGTGGGGCTCAGGTTGAAAGGAATCGCCTTCATTTGGAACTCTGTTTATTTTTTTAACTAACCGGCGCAGACAGACGACCCTGTAGAGCACCGGCGGCCGGCAGGGGCCGAGCCCGGCCAGGGGAAAGGGCGGCCAGGCGGGAGTGATGGGGAGGGGGCCATCTCCACCCTCCTCAACCACTGGAGAAGGGGGGAAGTGACAGAGCAATCGAGAGTTTCTCCCAGTTCCTTGACCAGACGCTCCTTAGTCGCCTAATCCCATTACTTCATCTGTGGCCTGCTCGGTCCCGGCAAATGCACTCGTTTCAGAGTTTCTGGACTTCTGGCTTCCCTAGCCTATCTGCCCAGCCTTTGGGGCCTTGGCTTCCTCCTTCTCCGCTCCGGTTTCGGCCTCTGTACACCCGTAAAGTGGGCTGTGATGAAAACGCCCTTTCCTCATTTTACCCGGCTGGGGTGGACAAAACTGATGAAATCCATAGGTGCCCGAGAGAGTGGGGGTGGGGGTGGGAGTTGTCTGACTTAGTCAACTCAACCTGACACAGGCAGGGACCCTAGAGACACTTGGATGTAGGGATAGGAAGGAGGAGGGGTATTTCTTGCATGTTTTGACTTGACGTGAACAAAATTCAAATGATAGTCAAAGAATTACGCAAATTATCAGCTATTCTTAGGGAGTCAAGGGTCAGCATTATTTGCAATGGTGTGGCAAAGCCAATAAGAATTCAGACGTGCAGTCCTCACCAGCCCCACAGACCTCGTGTGTGTGTGTGCTCGCCTGTCTCTGTGTGTATTCCAGTGAGGTTTTGTCTCTCCTGAAATGCACACACATGAATGTGTGTAGGAGAATTTGTGTGTCTGTGTTTCTGAGAGAATGTTTGTCTAGGGTTGTCTGCCATGTTTATGTCCTTGTGAATTTGTGTGTCAGAAATGTGCTTGTCTGAGTTTGTCTTCCTGCATTTGTGTGGGAACGGCTGTGTGTGTGTGTGTGTGTGTGTGAGAATGTGTGACTATGTGAGTGAGAAAGTGTGTGTGTATATGTGTGTGTCAGCGTGTGTGTCTCTGCTGGAATGTATGTACCCGGGCGGGTGTGCTCGCCTGTCATGAAAATGAGGTCAGGGAAGGTCGTTCCGCTCTACAGTATAAATCAAGGAGGAAAGGAGAATGGAAGTGAGAGACATTCCCAGGAGGACCTGAGGGAGAGACAGAACAGGAGACACAGAGAGGAGAGAGGGAGGGGGAAGAGAGAGACAAAAAGAGGGGAGGGAGTGGGGGGGAGAGAGAGAGAGAGAGTTCTGAGAACATTAGATGAAACTCAATAGAAATCCTTGTTTTTGCTACTAAGTTCCACATCCCACTTCCTTGGGGCCACCGAATATTGACTTACTCTGTTATCCTGGCTCCCCACTACCCCTTTAGGGAAAAGTAGGGAAAATAAGAGTCCTCAAACTAAAATATATTATGCCCTCCAAAAAACAAAAAAACAAAAACCCAAACAAAACAACACCAAAACCACTCTATCTAAGTACTGCTTTCTTTCTTTGGCTAATATTGCCTCATCACAGCCACTCTCTAAAGAGAATTTGTAATAACTAACCCCCTAAACTCTAGTTACAAACACATGCACAATCACACTTCTTACACACTCACACACCTCTCTCCATCACTGTGAGCCAGGAGCTCCCCGATGGTGACCTGGATTACAACACCCCAGAGTCTTCTTCCCATCTCCCTTCCCCATCATTGCCTCCCCCTCATTCTAGAGCCCTTCTCCACCATTCTTCTTTCTACCCACTATATTTTCCCCCTCCTCCACATACACTTGGCCTCCTCCTTTTCTCGCTTTTGCCTGCTGGCCTCATCCACATCACATCCAAATCCCCCCTCAGGGAGCCCAGACTTCTCTCTTAACTCTCTATTCTCTGGCACTCCCCCTTCCCTTCCCCTCCTTTCTCCTGTCTTCTCCCCTTCTCTCCCCTCCACACCATTATTGTGAAACTGGGGCCTTTCAGTCTCATAGCATGGGTCCCACAGGTTGGACTCTGCTGTTCCTCACAGTGTAATTTGTGAATCTTAGCAAAAGCAAGCTGAACTCCTGGCCCCAAGGCCACCCCAGAATGAACAGTTGACCAGGGATTGAAACTGCTCATTATTTGGGCTGGTCTCAAAGACCTTGGGATGGAGGGAATGAGGAGGAACCACCCTGGGAGATCAATTCATCTGCCTCTTTCAAATGCCCCCCCTTCAGCCCCTGCCGTGAAGATGAAGCAGGTGAGCAGGGAAGGCCTTTGGTTTTGCTCTGACTAAAGTGGGAGGTCAGGCTCTGCTGGGCTACAGCTTCGGGGCCCCTAAGTACATAGAAAACATGGGTGGGGAAGGGGGAAGTATTTCCTTGAGGCCCCAGTGCCTAGGGCTATCTTGAGTCAGCCTTTGCCCCATAACTCAGGGTTTTTTAACTTTTTTTTTTTTCAAAATTTCATAGACTCCTTTG